GATGTTTTCTCTCTTTTACTCACAACTAGGTGTCACTATTTCATTTGTCTTTTTCTTTTTCTTTTTCTTGATAAGCCTAGTCTTATCAGATACTGGACTAGGTGTCACTATTTCAATTCTCCTCTTTGCGGCACCCAAGCACATCTTAAAGTCATTCATAGTGAGCATCCTAAAAGAAATTAGAAAATTCTGAGCTGTTTCTGTTTGAGTCTTCACTTCCATGATCACCTTAAAATTAAATCTTATTCCCCACATTCTTTTGATTGTGATACTTACAGTTTATTCCAGGGCATAAATTTTTGTCAGGTACTTTAGGTATCACACATTTTTTATTATATTTTTTCCTATGCAAAACTTATCAATTAGGTTTGAGTATCCTTTCTGTTTATTTTGCTTGTTAATTCCTTTTTTCCTCATTCTTGTTGAAATTCATTGTTTCAAACTTTTCATGGTAACAAGATCACAGAGTGGTCACAAGCTCTGGACCCAGATTTCAGAGTCTGGATGTGAATTCTGGCTCTGCCACTGGCTAGCTGTGTGACCTTGTGTAAGCTACTTAACTTATCTAGGCCACAGGTATAAAATGAAGATAAAATAGATCTTAACTTTAGAGTTGTGAGGATTAAATTAGTTAACCTACTTATGCCTAGTGTTCCATTATTGGAACACTGGGCTTGTGGGAGTTATTTATATCCTACTGCTCAAGGTCATCACCAACGTCTGATTTTTTACACAAAATAATTTACAACTTAACCCATAAATGGGTTAATATGTATAAGGCATATAGAACAGTGTCTGGCATAATATATATAAATGCTAGTTATCATTATGGATTTTGTAGGTGGGTATGACCACACTGCCATCTTCCAACTTTTCCTACAGAACCAACTGACAAATGAACTGAGCAGTTGATATTGACCACAGCCCAGTAATCAACATGGAAACTAGATGTGAGAACCAGTTATATGTCTAACACTTCCAAATGAAGGTTGCTGTTTTCCCAAAGCATAAAAACTTCATTGAATCACTGTAATTAGATGAAATGGTAGAAATGTGTTTTGAGGTCTGGTAGAGTGTTCTAGACTAAGGATCTATGCAAAAACTATATATATATATATATATATATATATATATATATATATATACATACACACATAATACTAAAAGAGAAAAATTCAAATGACCCATAAGCACCTAAAACTATCTCCAACTTTTCTATTAATCAAAGTACGCACATTCAAACAATAATAATAAGACCAATTTCATATATTACATTAAATATAATAGAATGAAAAGTCTGCCAGGCATGATGGCGGGTGCCTATAATCCCAGCACTTTAGGAGGCCAAGGCAGGTGGATCACTTGAGGTCAGGAGTTTAAGACCAGCCTGGCCAACATAATGAAACCCTGTCTCCACTAAAAATAGAAAAAAAAAAAAAAATAGCCAGGCATGGTGGCAGGCACCTGTGATCCCAGCTATTTGGGAGGCTAAGGCAGGAGAATTGCTTGAACATGGAAGGTGGAGTTTGCAGTGAGCTGAGATTGCACCATAGCATTCCAGCCTGGGTGACAGAGCAAGACTCTGTCTCAAAAAAGAATAAAATAAAATGAAAAGGAGCAGGGCATTGTTCCACTTATAGTTTCAGCTACTCTGGAGACTGAAGTCGGAGGATCAACTGAACCCAGGAGTTCAAGGCTGCAGTAAGCCATGATAGTGCCACTGCATTCCAGCCT